TCCTCACTTTTTGTTTGGTCTTCTGGCTCATCATTGGAATCATCATGATGCTCGTTGTCCCTGCTCTTTTTGCACTTCCTCGTTTCGGTTGGTGCTTCTGATCCTCCTCCTTGTTGTTTCTCATTATCTCCATCTCTCTCTCTCTCTCTCTCTCCTATTCTCTCCCTATATATATGTGTGTGTGTGTGCGTGTCTCTCTCTCTCTCTCTTGCCCTCGCTCCCTCTTTCTCGTTACATGTGTTCCTCTTCCTGGACGATTTCCTGCTGCTGCTGCTCCTTATTCTCCTTATCCTTTCCCGATCTCACCTCGCCACCACCACCACCAACACCACCACCATCATCATCATCATCATCATCATCATCATCATCATCATCATCATCATCATCATCATCATCATCATCACCATCACCATCATCATCATCATCATCATTGTCATCATCATCATCATCATCATCATCATCATCATCATCATCATCATCATCATCATCATCATCATCATCATCATCATCATCATCCGGTTCCTGATCATCTCTCTCCGAAGCCTGCGCTTCATTGGGCCTGCCAGGTTCTGGAAGTCGTGGCTGGGTGCCGTGGCGAGGAACCCTCTCGGCTCGCTGCCCAGGTGGGGCGTGGAGCAGTGACAGGTAGAGCGTAGGCGAAGATTTCCCTTTCAATCCCCCTCTCCTCTTACTTGGCAATTTCTGTACTTGGTACGTGTGACTAAGGAGCCCAGCCGAAGCGGAGACAAACACATCTTAGCACGGCAGGTCATCTGACATGATGCAACTCATCAGACAGCACGGCAACGCGAACTCCCGCAACGCAAGTCGTACCATAAACCGAACAACATCGAACTAAGCAACGCAACTCCCGACAACGTTAGTAACGCATAGCAGCGAGTGCCTGTTTTATGCAGTTGGGTCTAGCTTATTACAATATTTGTCTCGCTTTGCGGGGTGCACGTCCAGAGTACGTGAAGACTGGGCGTTGGGTGGTTTGCCCTGCTCGTCTGCCGCGTTGGTCTGCCGTCTCGTTCTGCCCGCCCCTGGGCGTTGCCAGCGCCACGGGGGCGGATGCGCACTCTCCGTTTCAGCGCCTGGACGAGCGTGCGAATGTCCACGAATGCACTGAACATTCACCACGTGCCAGCACAAGGCACCGCGACGCAACGATGATAATAACAACAACGCGCGACTCGTATACAGTTTCGCGGGCCCCGTTGTGGTTTCTTGGGGGCTTCTTGGGGGCCTTTTGCGGGCTTCTTGTGGGCCTCAGGGGGCCTCTGTTGCGTCTCCATGTGGCCTCTGTGGGCCTCTTAGGGGCGTCTCGGGCCGTCTTGGGGCGCTCTTGTGCCGTCTGGGAGGCCGTTTGGGCGGCCTCTCGGTGGGGGGGGGGGCGCCTTGGGGCTCCGTCGGGGTCCTCTTTGGCCGTCTTGGGAGGCCCCTTGGGCTGTCTTGGGGTTTGGGCCATCTTGGGGCCCTCCTGGGCCGCCTTGGGGCACTTTTGGGAGCGTCGGGGGTCATCACATACGCCGACCCTTTTGAACCGTTGCGTGCCTCTAGATTCCCCTGGGTCGGACAAGGGGGGTGGGCGCCACTGTGCCCGTGCTTGTGAGACAGCTGTGAGGCCGCTTGTGCACCGCTCTTTGGGCCTCTGTGGGTCGCCTGTGGGTCTCCAGGCGGCTTCTTTGTGCCCCAAGGGGGCCCTTTAGGGCGCCTGCTGGCGGCCTAAGAAATCCTTTTTGGGACGGAGAGTTCGACAAGTCAGTACGCATTCCCCGTTTGGAGTCCTCGTATGGCCGTCTTGGGGACGTTTTGGCCGTCCTGGAGGCGTCTTGGGCCATTTTGGGATCATTTTGGTCCGTCTGGGAGTCCCTTTGGGGGCCTCATGGGCAATCTTCGGGCGACCTTAACGGCCTCTTGGGCCGTCTTGGACGCTATGAAAACCCAATAGGCGAATCTGCTAAACATGTACGTCTCCCAAGGGGATGGGACGATTTGTGCGCGGTAACCCTTGGGGCAGTACTCTTGGAGGCCTCTAGGGACGTTGTGGACGCCTCGTGGACTGTCGGGAGGCCGTCTTGAGCATTGTGGGCCGATCTGTCGGCGACTCGGGGCCTGCTTGGATCGTCCTGGGTGTCTCTTGGGCCGTCCAGGAGCCACCAATAAGCAGCAGAAGAGCCTGGATCCGCCCATGGCGCATTCCCTGGAGGGTCGTCCGCGGACGCAGGGGGGGGGTCAACTTCCCGGTTTTGGGTCCCTGGGGGGGGGGGGGGGGGGGGGGGGGGGCATTATGGGGGGAGGGACTCTCACACGCTTGGAGGTCCACAAGGTGTCGGCGGATTCACGTGTAAGTTGCTGTTGCCCAGCCGTTCATCCAGACATCCCCGTCGGCGTCGCGCTGGGTTCATCACAATCTCGTCGGTCCCTTTCCTGAGCCTCTCTCTTCCGCATCCGCACTTCGCGTCGCTGCGATAACAGAGTAAGGAGACGTCGTGGGGCGATGAGGAGGGCCGTGGTGTAGTTTACCCTCGACCCTAACGAATGCAACACTTGGTCTATCGGTGCATCGCGTTTGTTTCATTGTCTACCTTACTCGGTGGTGAATGGATGGATGGTGAGGAGGGCGACAAAAACGTGATGAGGAGGTTGGTGGAAGATGGTGAAGCGCAGGAGCAGCAAACGCAGGAGACGCATGGGGAGCAGACGCAGCAGCAGCAGGAGCACTCAGAAGGACAACGATGGTGGCGACTAGGATCACATAGCATGGAAGGAGATGATGATGCTAGTGCTGATGCTGCTGGTGTCGACGACGATACTAATTGCGATGATGATGATGATGATGGTGATGCTCCTGCTGATGAGTATGATGATGCTGCTGCTGCTGCTGGTGACGACGACGAGGATGTTCGAGATGCTGATGCGGCTGCTGATGATGCTGATGATGATGATGCTGATGCTGATGCTGGTGCGGCTGCTGATGATGATACTGATGAGGCTGCTGATGATGATGCTGATGATGACGATTATGATGATGCTGAGAAGGATGCTGCTGTTGATGCTGATGATGCTGATGATGTTGATGATGCTGATGATGATGAGTATGAGGAGGATGATAATGCTGTTGCAGTTGCTGATGCTGCTGATGCTGATGCTGATGCTGCTGATGCTGTTGCTGAGGATGATGCTGATGACGCTGATGATTATACTGTTGATGATGCTGATGCTGATGCTGATGCTGATGCTGATGATAATGATGCTGCTGAGGATTATGATGAGGATGCGGATGAGGACGATGATGCTGATGATGCTGATGCTGCTGATGATGACGATGCTGCTGCTGATGATGATGATGATGATGAGGAGGATGAGGAGGAGGAGAGGATAATGATGATGCTGATGACGCTGATAGTGCTGCTGATGATGCTGCTGATGATGATGAAGTTGCTGATGATGCTGCTGCTGATTATGATGATGATGCTGATGATGACGATGTTGCTGATGATGATGAGGTTGTTGTTGTTGTTGCTGTTGTTTTTCTTGTTGTTGTTTTTGTTGATGATGCTGCTGATGATGATGATGATGTTGCTGCTGATGATGATGATGCTGATGATGGTGGTGATGAGGAGAGGAGGATGATGATGATGATGAGGAGGAGCAGGATGAGGAGGATGAGGAGGAGCAGGAGGAGGAGGCGGAGGAGGAGGAGGAGGAGGCTCGGAGGAGGAGGGGGGAGGAGGAGGAGGAGGAGGAGGAGGAGGAGGAGGAGGCGGAGGTGGAGGAGGGCGGAGGATACGGAGTTGGAGGAGGAGGTGGAGGACGAGGAGCAGGAGGAGGAGGAGGAGGAGGAGGAGGAGGAGGAGGAGGAGGAGGAGGAGGAGGAGGAGGAGGAGGAGGGAGGAGGAGGAGGAGGAGGGAGGAGGAGGAGGAGGAGGAGGAGGAGGAGGGAGGAGGAGGAGCAGGAGGAGCAGGAGGAGCAGGAGGAGGGGGAGGAGGAGGAGGAGGAGGAGGAGGAGGAGGAGGAGGAGGAGGAGGAGGAGGAGGAGGAGGAGGAGGAGGAGGAGGAGGAGGAGAGGAGGAGGTTGAGGAGGAGGAGGAGGAGGAGGAGGAGGAGGAGGAGGAGGAGGAGGAGGAGGAGGAGGAGGAGGGAGGAGGAGGAGGAGGAGGAGGAGGAGGAGGAGGAGGAGGAGGAGGAGGAGGAGGAGGAGGGAGGAGGAGGAGGAGAGGAGGAGGAGGAGGAGGAGGAGGAGGAGGAGGAGGAGGAGGAGGAGGAGCAGCAGCAGCAGCAGCAGCAGGAGCAGCAACAGCAGGAGCAGCAGGAGCAGCGGAGGAGGAGGAGGAGGAGGAGAGAGGATGAGGAGGAGGAGGAGGAGGAGGAGGAGGAGGAGGAGGAGGAGGAGGAGGAGGAGGAGGAGGAGGAGGAGGAGGAGGAGGGAGGAGGAGGAGGAGGAGGAGGAGGAGGAGGAGGAGGAGGAGGAGGAGGAGGAGGAGGAGGAGGAGGAAGAGGAGGAGGATGAGGAGGAGGAGGAGGAGGAGGAGGAGGAGGAGGAGGAGGAGGGGCAGGAGGAGGAGAAGGAGGAGAAGGAGGAGGAGGAGGAGGAGGAGGAGGAGGGGGAGGAGGAGGAGGAGGAGTGCCGCGGGCAGGGGAGACTGCACGGGGAGCTCTGGTGTGTGGACGGCGTCGGAGTGGTTGGCCTCGGCCCCCTACCCACGGCGCCTCGCGGGCGGCCGCCCGCAGGCTCAGCCCAGGGGGCGGAGGGGGCATGTTTTGGGCCTCGGGGCCATGGTAGGTCCAGGCGGCGCGGAATCACCCCCACGCGAGGACGGGGCCGGAAGCTCAGCATACTCGGCGCGTTGGGATTCGCCACGAAGCGAGCGGGTCCTGAGGGAAATGGGTCCTGAGGCTTTTCGCCGTTTTCGTGGTCTCGGGGCCCTCCACGGCCCCAGGAATGCCAGAAAACGACTCGGGATGAAGAACTCGTCCCGGGGGAAGGCCTCGGGGCCCAGGACCCCTTTCCCTCAGGACCCGCCCTGTACAGTAGCGGAGGCCGCTCGAGGCCCCGCCCCCACTTGGGGTGCAGGTGCTGGAGAACACCAGGAAAGTGTTCCGCATGGGCGATGGCTTCGGCTGATGGCCAGACGCGAGGAGTTCTTCGTATGAGGCTTGGGATCATGATCACACCTTCCAGTCGGATCCCGTCGTCCCCTCCTTGTCCTTTGTCGATCCCTCCTCCTGTTGACTGGCTCTGGACGACCTGGACGTTGTTTGTGCTGTCTTTTGTCTGGCTCAGGAGGATATTGCCAGCTGGCTTCCTCTCTAGGTCTCGTGCAGGGATGCCCCTTGCCCGCACAAACTGTTCTCCAGTTTTTGTTCGGCGAGCTGTTGGCCCAGTGGCGACTCACGAATGACCCCACCAACGGCCCGCGTTCCCACTCATGACCTGTTACGGTGGGGGCGTTCATCAAGGAATGTGCCCAGAAGGCTGCAGACCCTCGGAGATTCCTTATCTGATGAGGGCGGCGGTGGTGTCCATGGCCAAGCCTCAACTGGTGTACCACAAGGTTCCAAACAGCGATTACTTATCTAAGAGTTCCTTATCCAATGCCCTCGCCGTAGCGGTCCCACCAACGACCATTACCCATTAACGATCCACTAATAGTCACGAGCCGCATGGCCCACTGAATATTCTGACGTTGGCGTGCCCACCATTGGTCCGTTGATCCTCCTCCGACGGTTGCATGGTTGTGATCGGTTGGTGGCTCACTGATGGCCTGCGGGTGGTTTCGATATAGCTTTCGTGCAGTACGGTACGGGCTGTTCGTGACTTCGATGTTACACCGATGGGCTATCAGCGGGCAGTCCGAATCGCTCAGGGCTTCCACCAAGCGATATCCTAGCATGAGATGTGTCAACTGCATGTGCCTTACTTCTCCTGATCCTCCTCCTCTTCTTCCTCCTCCTCCTCCTCCTCCTTCTCCTCCTCCTCAGCATCATCTTCATCATCAACATCATCATCAGCATCATCATCATCATCAGCATCATCGTCATCGTCATCGTTATCGTCATCAGCATCAGCATCAGCATCAGCATCATCATTAGCAGCACCATCACAATAATAGTCATCAGCATCATCATCATCATCATCAACACCATCCTGCTACTCATCTTGTTTTTCTGCTCCTCCGATGACGGCCCGCTCGTGCCTCAATGGTATCGCGAGGACAGTCCCTTCTTCACCTTCACGAACCTCTCAGCTACGCCCCGTGTCTAACAATAGCTTCGCTATTCCCTTTCCCTCCACCGCCTTTGTTCCCTCCTTTCGTGGTATTTTTGGTGTTCGGTCGAGGGCACAGTTTCAGGACGGACTCGGCCGAGCAGCGCTTCCTCTGGTTTGGTTTGGTCCAGATGAATAGGGAAGGGGAAACGGGGGTCTGGCCAGGGCCTGCTTAAGCACAACGGCCTCAAACAAAGTGCGTGTGTGAGGGAGTCGGAGCGGGCCTCGGCTACTCGTAAGGCCAGCTCTGCGCATGGCTGAGAGGCCGCTTGGGCAGATGCAGCTCGCTTCAAGGTCGGGCGATTGTTTTTTAGGAGTCTTGTGGAGCCAAGTCCTAGTTAGTGCCTGGGCGGACTGCTGGCCTCACTACGGGCGTTCAGTCGTATTCTTCTTCGTAATGCCAGGGAGCGGATCCCAACATGGTATCTCTGTAAGGCTGAATTGTATTTCAGAGAATGCTGAGACTCGGTGCCCCAGGATTGTCTCGTGATTGTCAACCTTCTCCCCACTGGCGCGCAGACGAGGGCGCACAATGGCCTGTAGCAGTTTCACTCTCCCTTCCCTAAGCCCGCGCAGTTCAGTCCAGGCCTTTGCGGTCAGCCCAGCTAGCCCATACCAGCCCAACGCAGTTCTGTCCCAGTTCAGCCGCCAGCCCAGCCAGTCCAGTCCTGGCCTGGCCCAGCTGGCCAAGTGACGGCAGTCCAGCCTAGCCCTGTTTGGTGCAGCCAGCCCGGTCAGTCCAGTCCCACATCGCTCCAGTCCAATCCTGTCCAGTCCACCCCATTCCAGTCCGTTCAGTCCTACAAATCAGCTCTTCTTCATCCCTTCTGTTTGCCCAATTTGCAGCCACGGCTTGCAATTGGATGTCCGTCCGTTTCCATGGTATGTCGATATTTGCTTGCCCCAGTGGGGACAGCCACATCCCGATGTGAGATCTGTGGTTTCAGACATGCCGCAGATGGCCTCCCGTGCTTCGAGCTGTGGCCCGAGAGCCGGACTTCGCAGGCCTCTCTGCCACCGCCGCGCCGCGCGGACTTCCCCTGGCTCTTGGCCCTCCCTCGCTCACCCCCAAACGCCCTCCTCGCCGCCCCACGCAGCCGTTTAGGCTCAGGGGTGGTCTTGCTGCCTCTTGCTGCTGCCGCCAGGGCTCGTTCACCATTCGGGGCGAGGAGTTGGAGCGATGCCGGCGGGGATCATGAAGAGGTGGCACTCGGACAAGGGCTTCGGCTTCATATCGCCGGACCAGGGAGGTGAAAGCTTCAGTGGGGCCAAGCGGGAGTCGTCGCCGCCGGTTTGGAGCCGCGTGGTCCGAGCCGATCCTGCCATGCTGATGGAAGCCGTTCGAATCGGGCCCACGCGATTTCGACCCAGAGGGCACTCTCTAGGTCGAAACCGTTGCTTGCTCAGCGCGGATGGCCAGAATTCGGAAGGCCAGAATTCGGAAGGCTTCCGAATTCTTGCCGTCTGCGTGGAGCAAGTAGCGCCCCGAGACACAGTGGTGCGCAGGGTGGCTTCCAATCCAGGGTGGCAGTTTGTGCGCAGTCCCTGCCAGCCTGTGCGGTAAGAGTAAGACTTCCGATTGATGTTCGGAGCTGTGCGGCGCCGCTCGACGTCGCTGTGGCCAAGGCGTGTTCAGACGTTCAGATTGGTCCAAAGGTCAGCCACTATGCTGTGTCTGGGCAGGCCTTGGTCACGACGGCGCCGGCAGCGGTGACACAGGCTGCGCCCGGGCCAGGATGGCCGATGTGAGCTCTGGCCTGGGACGAGCAGTTTTGAGTGAGGTGAAGACGGGCTCTGTTGTATGTAGCCGCGCCTGCTTGCCTTGGCCGAGGGCAGTTCGGCCGTCGCGATGTGAGCTTTGGCCCGAGTCGAGCGGCTCTGGGTGATGCGAAGTCGTGTTCTGCCATGTATCTGCTCTGCTTGACCGCGCCTTCGGCGTTCTGGCCGCCGGAGCCCGGGTACCTAGACCAGAAGCACTGGATGGGACGAAGCCGTGTTCTGCTGTGTGACCGCTTTGTTGGCCCATGCCTGGGAGTTTCAGCTGGCGCAGTGCGAGCCGCGGTCTGAGACAGCAGCTTTGAGTGCGTGGGATTCAGGCGTGTCCTGCTTCGTAACCGCTCCGCCAGGGCCTGGTCGTTTCGGCTGGCGTGATGTGAGCCTGGGTCCGAGACGAGCGATTTCGGGTCGGATGAAGGCATGCTCTGCTATATGTAGCCGCCCTGCTTGCCTGGGCCATGGGCGGTTCGGCCGGCGTGATTGGACCCCCGCCCCTAGACAAGCGGCATTGGGTGAGGTGATGACGACCTCTGCAAAATGTAGCCGCTCTGGTTGACGGGGTCATGGGCGTCTCGGCCAGTGTGATGTGAGCACCAGCCCTAGACGAGGCTCTGGGTGAGTTGGGCGCAGACGAGCGGCGGCTTTGGGTGAGGAGAAGGCGTGCACTGCTATGTAATCGCTCCGCTGGCCTGAGCCTGGGCGTTTCGGCCGTCGCGGCGTGAGACTTGGTCTGAGACAAGCGGCTCTGGGGCGGGTGAAGACGTGCTCTGCCATGTGTAGCCGCCTGGCTCGTCCAGGTCGTGGGCGTATCGGCCGGCATGATGTGAGCTCCGGCCGTAGACGCGCGGCGGCTCTGGGTGTGGTGAAGGCTTGTACTGCTATGCAATCGCTCCGCTGGCCTGGGCCTGGGCTTTCCGGCCGTCGCGGTGTAAGCTTTGGTCTTAGAAGAGCGGCTTCGGGTGGGGTGAAGTCGCCGCCGTGCATGTCCAGGCCCTGGGCGGTTCGGCCGGCGTGATGTGACCCCCGGCCCTGCGGCTTTGGGCGAGGTGAAGACGTGTTCTGCCATGTAACCGCTCTGCTGGACGGCGAGGGCAGCGTCCAGGAGGGCGACCAGGTGCGCTTCCAGGTCAGGTACGACGACCGCAAGGGCAAGGACCGCGCCGAAAAGGTGCCAGGGGGAAGAAGAGGGGGTCCCTCGGAGCGCGCCTGGCGTGGCGGTGAACTGGTCGATGCACTGTCCACGCTCAGTGTCGTGGTGTCTGTGTGCCACCATGCAGAAGCCAGTGAGGAGGATCAGGAAACGGAGGCGGAGGAGGAGGCGGAGGAGGAGGAGGAGGAGGAGGAGGAGGAGGAGGAGGAGGGGGAGGAGGAGGAAGGATACCCATCGCTCATTTGAAAAGTGTTGTTGGATTTCCAGGTCCTTATCTTTTTTAGGCGCTTCACTATTTCAAGGATCGAGTGTTTTCTATGTTCCTTTCTCTTGTGGGAGCGGGCGGAAACCCAACATACTTTCAACGACGTTCTACTTCATATTTCGGCCCGCTTCTTCCGAACGATGGTCAACCATCTGCCCTGAAATGCGGGTCTATCCCCATTCTCACGTGTGTGTGTGTGTGAGTGTGTGTGTGTGTGGGGGGGGAAAAGCCGAGTGCAGGTGAACACATGGTCCGCACCACTGCGCCTACCATGAGAGACCGTACCTTTCCAGGGAGACCCTGGCCAGCTGCCCTGGAGGGCAGCAGCGGAAGGAGGGCACGAGCCACGGAGGGAGCGCACGACCGACTCGGGCCGGCCTCCCTGCCGGTCGGGCCATGGCGGCCCCGCACACCTGACGGGCAGGGGGGCCCCGGAGCAACCGCACTGTACCCCCCCCAACCCGAGGCGGAGCGGACGCACGAGAGCCGACGCCAGCACACGGCAGCGGCGGCCAAGACGCCGAAGCAAAGGCCACTTGGGGCTCGGGCGGGGCTCCCGGTTTGGGGGCCGTTCCCGAGGTCGGGGTCGGGGAACCCACATGTTCGGGGCCGCGGCTCGCCGCGGCCCGTGCAGCTCCTTCGTTCCTGGTCTGGCGCTCCTTCTGCGAGCACGATGACTGTATGCCTCACTCCCCTGTGGCTTCCGTGCCCTTTGATGACGAGAGTCGCTGGGAGCCGCCCTCCCCCCCCCCTCCACCTCAAAGCAACACATCTGGTTCCAAGCACATGTCCTTCGACCGTAACTTTGTTGTCTCCAACAGATTGTCCCCCAGCAACATGTGTGCCTCCAGTGAGCACTTTTCATTTTCCGCGTTCGCAGGTGGGTCCTCGCGCCCAGTCCGAGAGTCCCCCTCTCATTCCGAAGCTGGCCCATCAGAAACGAAGGGGGCAGCTCGGGGGCACGGCGCCCAGAAGGGGCCATGCGGACGCGAGGAGGAACGCCCTCGCCCCGTCGCACATCTCCGAGCTCGGCCCCGAAGTGTTCGCCCACTCGAAAGCCTCACAGCGTAGGGGTCCAGGGGCCCCCACGCCGCCCGCCACGTGTGCTCGCGGCCGGCCGCGCCGCGCCGAGGTGGAGCTGGCGAGCGGCGGCGGCGGCGGCGGCCGCGGCGGCCGCAGCCGCTCGCCGCCGCCCCGTGGCCGCTCCCCGCCCCGCGGCGGCGGCTTCGGAGGCCATGGCCGCCTAGTTCCGTTCCTTCCCTCCTCTCCTTGACCTCTTGTGGTTTCTCGTTCTCCTTCTCGTTTCTCCTCCTCCTCCTCCTCCTCCACCACCTTCTCCTTCTCCTCTCCCTCCTCCTCCTCTTCCTCCTCTTCCTCCTTCTCCTCCTCCTCCTCCTCGCCCGCTCCTCCTCCTCCTCCTCCTCCTCCTCCTCCTCCTCCTCGCCCGCTCCTCCTCTTGGCTTCCTGCGGTTTCTCGCCCTCCTTCTCGCTTCTGCTTCTCCTGCTTCTGCTCCTCGTGCCGTGTTGAGGCCATTCGCGGTGACGCATGTCACTGGGGCCGCCCTCGCCCAGTAACGTCACAGCTTTCTCTGTCGCCGTGGGTGAAAAGCCATGGGGTAGCATATAAGGACAGCTCGGATCAGCAGTGAGGTAGGAAATTGCTATGGGTAGCTAGGTGCAGCTTTGGGAATCGATGAGACTGGCACGTCCACTGGCACGTCCTCTGGCCGCTCCCTGCCCCTGGCTCTTCCCCTGGCGCTTCCCGTGCCCGCTCCGCGACGGGTCATCCGTCGCGTTCGTTGCCACGCCCCTTGGCGCGTTCCTTGGCGCGTCCTTTGGGATGGCCCCGGCATGGCTTGTCCTGGCACGCCCCCCTTGACACGCCCCTTGGCAGGTCTCTGACATGTCCATGGCAGATGCCCGATGCGTCCCCTGGCGCATCGCTTGGTCCGTCCCTGGCGCATCCCGTGCCGCGTCTATGCTCCCTGCGCCCCCTGCTGTCGTCCCGCTTCGGAACTGAATCGGATCTTGAGCTCGAGCTGGTTGAGCGCCCCCCCGCGTGCCGACTACAACAAGCTCTAGGCGAGCCATGCGTTCAGGCAGTTCGAGCCAGAGGTCCCGATCAGTTCGGTCAAGGCAGGACTCCAAGGACGACTCCACTCCAACACAACAGAGAACAGCACACTCTGACACAGTGTGACCCGCCACAGTTCAGCACAGCACGGCAGCGCAAGGCAGCGCAGCACAGCCCCTGGCACGGCATCGTCACCATGGGTCTCCTCAGCATCCCTGCTGCCTGTTGCCCTACAGGGCAGTTCTATATCCCTCTCTGGATTCGCGGACCGATTGTGTTGCTGATTATCGCGGTCCCTGGGTGCGCGGGACAATCGGTTTCTGTCATTGACCGTTGCCTCCGTGGCGCGGAATCCCGGAACTGCTGCTTTGCCCAACCATCCTGTGGCGTTGGGCCGAGTGCTGGTTTTGGTCGGCGGCGCCGCGCCCCACCGTCCCACCGTCCCCCCATGCTTCTTCTTTCCCACCTCTCCGCTCCTCTCCATGGCGCGTCCGCTGGCACGTCCCTTGGCGCGTGCACTGGCGCGTCCAGTGGGACGTCTCCTGGCATGAGACCTCGCTCGGCCCCTGGAGCGTCCCTTGGCACGCCCTTTGGCGCGTCCCGTGGCGCTTCCTCGATACGTCCATAGCTCATCCCTTCATACGTCCCCTTGCACGTATCCTGTCGCGTTTCCTGGCGCACGCCGGCACATCCAGTGGCGCTTCCATGCGTCCCCTGTCGGTTCGTCCCGCCTGAAGCGGGACGAACCGCTGGGGGGCGCCGAAGCGGCTTTGGCATTGAATCGGATCTTGAGCTCTAGCTGGCCGATCGCCCCCGCACGGGTCGACTACAATAAGCTCTAGGCGGGCCTTGCGGTCAGGCAGCTCGAGCTAAATGTCCAGATCAGTTCGGTCATTTACGGACTCCAAGGATGACAGGATTCACAACTTATCAGAGCACAGCACAGATCAACTCAGCATGCAATAACCCAGTTCAGCACAGTGGGTCACAACACGGGACAGTGCAGCGCAGCACAGCCTTTGGCACGGCATCGTCACCATTGGTATCATCAGCGTTGCCCTTACCCAGTGCCCAAAGTTAGGGCATGTCTTTTTCCCTCTGTGGGCTCGTGCGCCGATGATTTTTTTTACTCCGGGTCGTTGCTTCGAAAGAGCGGAGCTCCCTTGGGGCGCCCTTGGCGCCCGGAAGTTCCAGCATCTCTAATATGATTTTGCCGTGACTTTGCCAGGGACTCGCCCAGAGTTGCCTGGTGTATTTCTCTGCTGGGGACCCCCAGGGGCTGCCCCGCGCGCGCGCGAACTAGTAAGACTCCACCAATATTTGTTAACTTGTACCCGGGTAGCAGGCCATTGGCCAGGTTGGCTGGCGAGTTCTTCTCTATCGCATCTCACCTGGCAGCCTCGGACTTGCACTAGGGAGCTGTGGTGCGCTCAGTTCCAGAGATCAGACGTCTGGGCAGTTCAGCGACGATTCGACACCACGTAACGCAGTGCCCCCAACAATGACACGGTCCGCTAGATGGTGTCTTCATGTGTAGATATGATATATACAGACACTCAAACACACCGGTATAGACGCATTCAAGTGTACGTAGCACCCCGCAATTGCGGATAAGAGTGAGGGGGCGGGCTCGGGCGACGCGGGCGTCGAGCCGACGGACCTCGTGGTCCTCACCTTCCCTGTCGATGGCGCCCTCCTCCTCCTCCTGCTGCTCCTCCTCCTCTTCCTCGTCCGCGTCCTCGTATTCATTGTCCTCGTCGTCTTCGTCCGCCTCCTCCTCCACCTCCTCCTCTTCCTCCCCCATCCCGATCCTCCCCCCTCCTCATTTCCGTCGTCGTCGTCGTCGTCGTCGCAGGTTCTCCACCTGGAACGAATGCAAAAGAAACCCGCCGCAGGCGCCGAAATTTTGGCTTGTTCAGTGAACGTAGTTTGGGTCGCGGGTGGGTTGCGGGCTCTCCACCTCCACCTGGAAAGAATTCAAAAACAGCCAGCCGCAGGCGCCGAAAATTTTGATTTGTACACTGAACGCGGTTTGGGTCGCGGGTGGGTCGCAGGTTCTGCACGTGGAACGAATGCAAAAGAAACCCGCCGCAGGCGCCGAAAATTTTGGGTGGGTCGCGGGGTGGGTCGCGGGTGGGTCGCGGGTGGGTCGCGGTGGGTCGCGGGTGGGTCGCGGGTGGGTCGCGGGTGGGTCGCGGGGTGGGTCGCGGGTGGGTCTCGGGGTGGGTCGCTGGTGAGTCGCGGGTGGATCGCCGAAACAGAAACCCGCCGCAGGCGCCGAAGTTTTGGCTTGTTCAGTGAACGTAGTTTGGGTCGCGGATGGGTCGCTGGCTCTCCACTCCACCTGGAAAGAATTCAAAAACAGCCCGCCGCAGGCGCCGAAAATTTTGGGTGGGTCGCGGGGTGGGTCGCGGGTGGGTCGCGGGTGGGTCGCGGTGGGTCGCGGGTGGGTCGCGAGTGGGTCGCGGGTGGGTCGCGGGGTGGGTCGCGGGTGGGTCGCGGTTGGGTCGCCGGTGGGTCGCGGGTGGGTCGCGGGGGGGGGTCCGAGGCAGGTTGCGGGCGGGTCGCGGGGTGGATCGCGGGTGGGTCGCGGGGCCTGTCGCGGGTGGGACGACGACAGCAACAATCAACAACAACAAGAATCCGCATCGCGGAGTTCCACTTCAGCCATGCACCCAGGGACAGTGAATGACTGTTCGGGTCAGCCCCCTCACTCTGATATAGCGCTCCCAAATGTCAGTCCAGTAGTCCGTCGATGTATCGATCTATGCTTGCTTCCATGTATCTCATATATGTCTATCTTTGAGAGAGAGAGAGAGAGAGAGAGAGAGGGAGAGAGAGAGAGAGATGTTGTGAGGGCGAGATCGAAGTGTGCCCGAGACCCCCACCGGGAACTCGGTTTTAGTTTCGTGTTCGTGCCGCGCGTGTGGGCGAGGCGAAGCTGCGTGCGCGGAAACGAGGAGTGATCCCGCTGCTGCTGCGGCGAAGTCGAAGCAAAAGACTCTCCCCTGGCTAGTTTGCGGATTTGGGTCTTTTGTTGTCTCGTGGCTTTCCTGTGGTTTTCCCGTGGTGGTCCCGATGGTTGTCCCGATGTTTGTCCCGATGGTTGTCCCGATGGTTGTCCCGATGGTTGTCCCGCCGATGGTTGTCCCGATGGTTGTCCCGATGGTTGTCCCGACTGTCCTGGTGGTCATCCCATGGTTGTCCAGATGGCTTTCCCAGTGGTCGATTGACTTATTGTTAGTCAGATTGGCAGATCTTGGAGCCGACAGATAGATAGTTGAGACAGATAGATCGCTGTATTATCGCGATATCGACCGATACAGAGCAGGCAAATGGGTTTGTAGCCGTCAAGTGGGCACACAACCACATGTGTGTGTGTCTATGTGTATGTAAAGATGTGTGCAGACATTCACACATATGACACACATTTCTTTTCGTATATTTTTATAAGGCCGGG